TTTTTCATTCTATGAGTTGTCTCTTCACTCTGTTGATGATTCCTTTTGATGTGCAAAAGCTTTTCAATAAAGTGGTGTGCCAGATGTTGATTCTTTGAAGTATTTCCTATGCAAATTGGTTTTTGTTTATGAACTATCTGCTTACCCCTATATATTCATGAAAAGGAATTATGCAGTTGAGGGACGTTTGACACTGACTGCAGAATGAAGCAAGGCGATTTATTTGCTTGTACATGGAAGGAGACAATAAAAATAACAAGGATTTGAATATCAATAAATGTGAGATAAGATCAGTACAAGGAAGGGCCTGGTACTATGAAAAACTGTTGAAATGGAATTACTAGAATTGAGAAGGAAATTTTAATAAGATTTGCAATTAGGTGGTTAAAAATATGAAATGTGGAAGGAGAATTTAAGGTTAAGAGAAAACTAAGATAGTTATATTGAAAATGAATTATTAAGAGAGAAAAGAGAAATACAAGTAGTTTAGAAAAAATATTATGCATCTATATTTAGATTATTTTTGAAATACTTAAATTACATTATATGCTAGTTTGTTATATAAAATGTTATATACATTTTCAGTATCATCATGTTCACAATAAAGCTATGGAAATAATTTGTCCTCCTTATAAATATTATAAAGAATATTATTATTGTGATTATTTTCTATGTAAGATGTTACATATTTAATATTTTAATAGAGGTGTCTTTCAAATATTGGAATGAAAAAAGAGAACTATATTTTATATATATATATATACATTTATATATTTTTATTGGTTAATCTATTGGTTTCAGAATTTAATGTAGCAAAACCTTGCACTTCTTCGGAATATTTCTTTAGTACAGTACTCACTTGGTTATAATAATAGATAGTTGAACTATAGCTATTTGTTCAACATCGTGTTTTGGTTGCATCACCAGCTCTTACCCACATGGACAAAACTAACCTCTAAATTTTGTAATGACTGGGATATTTGTTCTGACACAAGTGACTTATATAATAATAATGAGAACAATAAATATCCTGCCATGAAATAAATCAGGAGTTAAAAAAAGAGAGGATGAAATATAAACTTCCACAAGTCTTTTTTATTTAAGTTCATACCTAGAAAATTAGGCCAAATTATGTAGTGTTAAATTTATTGATACTTAAATGGATAATTATTTTCATTTTGCCCTTAGTATAAATTGCAAAACTCATGTTTTAAAATTGGAATTTTCATATTTACATGCAGAGTTCTATTTTCAGGAAGTTAATTGTACATCAGTGAACTTGGCATCATGCAAGAGGATTAATCAGAATATGAATCTGAAACTTCTCAAGACTATGTTATAGTTCCTTGCAATCTGCATTTTCATAAGATCCCAGGTGACACTTGCACTTAGAAAAGTTTGAGCATCACGTTTAAGAACATCTTCTGACATACTTGCAAGCTTAATTATGTTAGAAAGTGTGAGACAATAACAAGAAATCTTTTATTTCTTGGAGAAATGCTGTCAACATGAACACTGATATTCATTGAGAGGAAAAGTTAAAAATAAAAGTATCAGTAGAGCTCATATATATGATATATTGGAAACTCTCCATTAACATGAAGCAATATGCCAGATGGCAAATGCTCTACTTGCAAAACTGGGGGAATTGACTCATCCCCAAGCAGAGATCCCTAGAAAATAATTTGTGTCACTCAATGCAGCAAAACATATTGATAAATTGTGTTCAGTGTTCATGAAAAATGATTACATTCAAGCTATAGAATATGAACATGTTGCACTTAGAGTAGAGGTACTTAGTTAAATAAAGTTCTCTCATAAATGTGCTGCATCAATGAAGTACAAGGAAAAGAGTGACACATGATTTTATTACTTTAATTTTAATAAATATATCTACTTAAGCATTGGATTTTGTAAACATATAAACACACAAATATAGTGTAGCTGAGAGTTGCTATTTTAATTATTCTAAATTTAACTATGGAACTTTTCTTTGTAAAAGATTAATTCCAAATTGTTTGTATATTTTGTTCAAAATGTTTAATAACCTTACTGTTAAGTCATGATATTAAATGAAATTGATATTTAATTTTTCTTTTGTATTTTAGGGAAGGGTCTACAGGGTGCTCAGGGTCTCACTACTAGATCAGACTCGTAATGATCAGCCTGTTTACAGCCTCCCAAGAGCTGGGATTATAGGAGCATGCCAGATATTTATTTAATATTGATTTAGGCATTTCACATAGATTTTTCTTATTTACTCACTGAATAAATTATGCTAAATTAAGTTGAATTGATTTGAATTAGTAGTTATTCTTTAAGTAAGCCTATGAAAACTGAAACAGAAAGGTTTTAAATGATTCATAATGAATTTGAATGATTTCAAACAAACTGTAGTAAAACTTTTAACATATTGTTATTCTATGTTTCTTTTGTATTTAATTTAATACATATTTATTTTTCTGAATTTAAAATTTATGCATGCATTTTCTAAAATCTTTGTAGATGTAGACTTATTCACAATTTTGTCCACAAATGATTAATTATAAATTTACAGTTGTGTTACATAATCATTTTCTCTGAATACATATTTATGTATATGTATAAATATGTACACACAATTTTAATGATATACACACATAACATACCTATCTCTGCATATATTTACTGTTCACCTTTGAACTATTTTATATCCTCCATTGTCTACTTATGCACCGATCATTTTCCTATAAACCTATATTTACTGAGTTTTGTTTTTAAGCATCTTTTGTCCTTTTGATATACGGGAAAAAATAAAACTCCAGACCTGAAAGGTAGCTGGGAAGAGTTCGTTTTCTTTAAAACCAAAAAGTGAATTTTAGGAGGCCGGGGAGATGGCTCAGTGTAATAAGTGCTTCCCTGGCAAGCTCAAGGGCCTGAGTTCAATCCCTGGTTCGGCCAAAAAAAAAAAAAAAAAAAAGAATTTTAGGAACAAATGGTGGTTATGAGAAGAATATATTTATTGGGGAAAGGAAGCTCCTGTCCTAGAGAGGGACAGGAGTGGGGAACCTAATAGGTGGTCCCCGGGAAGCTGTCCCTTCCGGGGACTTTTATAGCATAAAACCATGCAGGTTTAAGGTGGATAACACGGGAACTTACTTAGGTGGTCATGAAGTGGGACAAAACTATGTCAATCAACGAGATTATAAGCACCATTACTCAGGTAAAATTGATTAAGTCCAGGATCAAATGGGACGAGAGGCCGGATTGCTCAGTAGAATAAGCACTTACCTGGCAAGCACAAGGGCCTGAGTTCAATCCCCAGTTCTGGGGGAAAAATAAACAAACAAACAAAAACTGTGTTTGAGGCCAGGCTCAGTCACACAGTGAGTTCAAGTACAGCCTACAAAATGAGATCCTGCCAAATGGGAAGAGAGGCACGTAGCAAGTGGGCACAAATATAGAACAGAACTTTGTCCAGTAGCCAGTCAGTAGTAGTCAGATTAGTGACCCTTCCTAGCTCCTGAAGGTGATGATAAATCCCGCATGCTAATCTTTAAGGGGGTAAGCACTTGTTGGATCTTTGGTGTCTAGGTCTCGCCCGTAACAGGAGCATCCATCCCACCCACAGTTGTAAGGTATCTTGTCTTTTTTGTTATCTCCTTCTAGAGCCTAGCCCTTTCTGACTGCCTATAATATTTCTTTCTTTTTTGGGGGGTGGGGGGAGGATCTACAGGGTGTTCAGGGTCTTACTACTAGATCGGACTTGTGATCCGTCTGTCTACAGCCTCCCAACAGCTACAGTTACAGGCGCGCTACCACGCCCAGTCTAACCTATCATATTTCTATCTAACTTAGCTGTCTACAACACTTTGGGAGAAGCGATCCTTTGAGACTACAGAATCTATCTAGACTTATAACACACATGCAGAGTGGCTTTCTTAACTGACAATTCCTTTGATAATACTTGACAAATTCAAGAGTAGGAAACTCTTTTGTTAATACTGCATTCTAGAATGTCTTCAGAAGAAATTTAGAAAGTCTCACTATAAGGAGGAGCTCTCAGTGAATGTTTTTGCCTTGTGAAGAAATGCTGCAAATAATAAAAAAAGAAAGGGCCAGGGAGATATCTCAGTAGAATAAATGCTTTCCTGGCAAGCGCTAGGGCCTGAGATCAATTCCCGGTTCCTCAAAATAAATAAATAAAAATAAAAGTAAAAACAAAAGAAGAAAGAAATTAAACACATAAAAGTAGAGACATGGATGTTTTGCAAAGGGAGGGGGACCAAGAGATGGAAGAGGGAGCAAGGAAGAAGAGTTAGGTAAGTGGAGGAAAACGAATTAAGCTGTGTTACACACATGCATCAATTTCCAACAATGAATGATATTGTTATATACTGAAGTATCTTCAAGTAAGATATTAAATTAAAATAGATATTTGGGAGTGACTAAAATACTCAGTATATTAAAAATATAAAATATTTAAATATATAAATATATTAACATACTCAATATATTTACCTTTAGTTCTTATTTTATTTGTTATAGTTTTTTAAAGAGCAGAATATATTATTAAGGGAAAGAAATCTTCTGTCTAAGAGATGGACTGAAAGAGACCCCAGGGAATTGGCAAGCAACCTGTCTTTTCTAGTGAATTTTATAGAGCAAAACTACAAGTGAGGCAGGTCCAAAGTGGGAAACATGGGAATTCCCAAGGTGAGCAGGAGGTTGGACAAAACTATGATCCACCAGTAGGGTTGCAATCACAATTTCGCAGGTAAAATTGATTAAGTTGAGATCAAATGAGGAAGTGAGGAACATTGTAAGTGGGCATGAATACAGAACAGGGGCTTTTCCTGTGGGGGTTTGGATTAGTGACTAGTCTCCGCTTTCTCAAGGTGCTTGATACCTGTTTAGAACAGCAATCCCTGATGCATACCCCTGGGGAGGTATGTAGGTGCGTTTGTTTAATCTTTTGTTTTGAGCTCTGGAGGTGCCTTTCTCTCCCAAAGTTACAAGATAAAAATATGGAGCACTGCAAAAATTTGCCTATCTTCCTTGTGCAGGGCCCTACTAATCTTCTCTGTACTGTTCTAATTTCAGAATATGTGCTGCTGAAGTGAGCACTAGTCATGACTGAGAGGTCATAAATAACTTTTTTGAATTTTTTAATAAATATGTAAATGACCAAAATACATACTTCAAACATTTGAACTTCTGAACTTGTGATTTGAAGACCAACCATCAACAGAATCCAGTTAGAAATATTAGAACTCTGCCAACTGTCTCATTTTGATGGAGAAGGAAAAAGACAGAGAGAAGACAGCCACTCTTTTCGCTCCACTCCTTTTGATGCCAAAAATTACACCACACTATAGATCAAATGTGACATAAAAGTACAGCACGTTCTATCCTGGAGAGGATCGTTACTCTTCACCTTAGAAACCTCCAAAATAGTTCTATTGATCCGTCTCAACTCAGTGGACACTGAAAAGGTCTAGTTTTATACAATCTTCACCTTCATTTTTGGTTTTTAGCTGCTACCTTTCTTTTCACAATGATAGAATTAGTGAATTTCATTACTTTCTGTTCACTTTTACATACTAAAATCTTACTTTGATTAATTTATTTTTAATTTTACATTTATGCAGTTTTAATGTTGATACTAATAAAATCAATTCCAAGAGAATGCATTCATTATTAGGAGTATTTGATTTACTGTGCACATGTAACACACATCTGCATTTCACTCTGCACATATTTTTAATAATTATAATATCCATATGCTTTTTTCTCTTTCAAAACATATGTTTAACTGCACTCAGTGAAGATGATTTATTCTGAAGGATGAAAATAAACCTATTAATGAATAAATGACAAGTATTTTGTTTTCTGCTGATGGCCATTTAGGTAGTTTCTGATATTTCCCATGGCAATAATGTTAAAATACGGAACTGAAAATCCTGTACCTGAATTACTTTACTGTAATTAAGTATCTTTAGTACAGTAAATATTTACTGGTGAACATTTTAAAGTGTGCATTTTTTGACAGATGTTGCAAATTATATTTCATGAAGATTACAGAAACTCACATTCCAATCAGAAATGTTGACCATTTTTGTTTTTCCATATTATCATCAAAGTATAATTCTGGATTTTTTAAACATTAAACTGAACACTTGCCTCAGCTTCCAGAGTCTGTCATAAGGCTGTTCCAAATTTCTGTTCTGTATGTTTGATGCCCAGAATGAGTTCTAGTAAACTAATGCAAGAGCAAATTTGATTGCCTTATGAAATCTTAAAAGTAAAACATATTTTCTTCTCTTTTCCAACTTGTAAAAATTTGTTTTGTTTTACTGTTTTTAGGTTTTTTCTTTTTTTATTGGACAATTTTTTTTTGTTGCTGTTTTAATGTATTTGGTTGTTGCAGGGTCTCACCACACAACTCTGACTTGAAGTGATCCTCTTGCTTTCAGCCTCCCCAGTGCTGTGATTACAAGTGTGAGCACCATTTTGCCAGACTCTGGCCAGCTCAGCCCTCCCTGGGGGCAGGGCTGGTGCAGCATGTGGTGCTGGGGATCAAACTGAGGTCCCTGTGCAGGGTCTAAGCAGGGCTTTTGTTCTGCTGAGCTATTCACCAGACCTTTACTTTTATTCTTTGCACCCAGGTTCCAACATTTTGGAATGAAAAATAGGTTGCTCAGTCCTGTACTGTTCTTGTTTTCTTTTTCTGTGAATCAAATGTTACACTTTCTCCACTGTTAATTACTCATCTGATTAAATTAAGGTTAAAGTAAATTGATAAAAGCTCCATGGGTCATGATTGTTAAGTTTAAAATGAAACTAAAAATGTTTTTTGCTTTATAAAGTAACGTTTTAAGTTCTTCGCTTTAAATTATAAAGGTCACTGGTGATAGGCAGGTGAGGAAGTAGCCGTTATTCTGTCCCACATTCTATAATTAATAAAATAAATATACATATTAAAATACTTAATGGAAAATTTTCAGTTATGTAAATTTCTTGTATATAATTATGGAGAAATAATGAGATATAGTTTGTTAAATTGTCAGAAATTTCACACATGCAGAAAATATACAATATCAATATTCATTCTTTAAACTCCCTTGTATTCCTCAATTTTTCACGTCTTCCTCTTTCAACTATTGTGAGTTCTATCAGTATAGATATTACTTGATTACAACTGAACTTATTGAACCTAGTAAACAATTATAGATATATCACATATATATATATATATATGTATATCAATATAAATACTATATCTATATTGTTTCACATACATTGATTTCTTGGATGCTTTAATTTTATTGTATAAAGTAAATATCTTTTTAATTTTAAATGGCACACACTGTTCATCCATGTAATTTTATTACAGATTACTCTTCCATTTATTTTTGTATATTTACATCTCATGTAAAATCAATCTAAAATGGACATTTAATATTATATTTAAAGGAATCCTTAATACACATGAAAATCCTATGTAAAATTTTATGTTTATGTACAGGTGTACATTACATTTGGGAGAATAAAATTTAGCATTCATCAAATGTTTAATAGAATCTTCATGCAAAAAAGTTAAATATCATCTAAACACAATTTATTGTATATTTTAGAAAATAAAATAAAGAAAAAATTTGTTTTAAATATATATTTGCTTTTTTATTGTTTGAAAGTAAAAAGTGACTCTAAATTAGTATATAAGCATAATGTATCTTCTATATGAATGATGTGTATTAATATTTAAAATTTATACTCCTAATTAAACATCAGTTCTATGATCCAAGTATTTATTTGGTTAATAAATATTTGTAGTTTACAATCAGTTACTTGTTGGTACTTGAGCAAATGGAAACAAACAAAAGAAATACCATCTCAAAGCTACTCAAGTGTGGAAAGAATAGATGAACGTATAGTGGTTTCTAACTGTCAAATTATGTCTAATCTCTAGGCTCATTCTCTTGTCAAAGCAAAATCCTAACTTTTAGTTTTATTTGGATGCTCCCTTGTCCTTGTCTACCTACACTATATTTTACTTCAGCAAAGTTGTAACTTCTTTGTCCTAAAATTCACTAAAGTCATTAAAAGATGTATATTAAAATCTTTGTCTCAGCTACAGTCTGGGTCTAGATGTTCCAGTCCTAAGACTTTTCCAGAGGTGGCTGGATCTAGAATGTGTGATGCTGGGATTTAAGTGTGTGATTAGTAAATCAGTCCATCGATTGGTTCAACACAGCTCTGGTTAGGATTAAGGTGTGAGTGCTGCGCCTGCTCCAGGGGGGATCAGCTTCCATACAGAAACAGTTATCTTTTCTTGTTGTTCTTTGCTGTCCTCAGAATCCATAAAAGTGTTCCCCTCGGCCATATTGCTGTGCTTTGGGGCAAGCAAACTGCAGACTAAGCCCTCTGTTATGGTTTGTGTACAGGTGTGTTCAGAAAGCCCCATGCAGTCCTGGGGCAGCTTCTGGAGCTTGTGATTGATTATTGTGGGTGCGGGTGCTACGACTACTTTGTAATCTTCACTACAATGCAGAGAGGGGAGAGAAGCATGCTGGCTTCCTGACCCACTGCCTTTTGGCTCTTAGCTCTTTACCACACCATAAAGTGTGTTCTTCTCTGCCATGAGGCATGCTGTCTTGGAGCCAGCTGAGTATGGACTGAACCAGACGGTAACTGTAAGCTAATTTAACCTTTCCTTCCTTAACTTTGGGTGCTGGGTATTTTGTCCTGTCAAGTGAAGAGTAACTAAGATACCCTCTACAAACTGTGAACTAAATAAACCTTTTCTCCTTTTAACACCGGATGTCACATATTTTGCCTCAGCAATGAGATAAGTAACTAAATTACCTCCTGTGCTTTTTATTTTCTCTCTTAAACCTTCACTTTCTAATTTACACTGTAAATGTCTTTCATTTGGATTATTGGAGGAGGCTTCAAATTATTTGTCCAATTTCCTTCAATTTCACCTATGCAATTTATTAGTGGAACAGCCTCAATGAGAGTGCTAAAATGTATTTCTCAATTAAAACCCTCTAGTAGCTTCCTCTCTAACTCGGAGTAAGGACTGAGTCCTCCCAGTGTCCTGTGAGCTTTTAAAAGATCTGGGAAGAATTTTTGTTTTCATCATCTCCTAAATGGCTTCTTTACCTTTTTTGCCTCATTTTAACTTTCCTTCAATCATGCTGGCTATTCTCTTCTCCTAGAAATTTTGCATTCTTTTATTCTTTTCTATCTGTTATAGTCTTCCTCATATATGATTCATCACTTTTTTGAAGGCTTTAAACATTTCTTTTTTGGAGGACTGGCCAAATAGCTCAGAGAATTAAAGCACCTCCTTAGGCAGAGCTCAGCGGCTGGGGTTTGATCCCCTTCATGCTGTGCCAGCAGGCCCCTGAGACATGCTAAGATGGTGATTGAAACTGGACGTGGTGGTGTGCTCCTATAATCGCAGCGCTTGGGAAGCTGTGAACAGCAAAATCACTGCAAGTCTGATCTACGTAGTGAGACATTGTAGACCCCATGGACCCTGTCCTACATACATTAAAAAATAATAATAATAAACAGTTCTTTATAGGGAGAAATGCTCTGAAAAACAGATTTATGATTGCAGCCTCCTCATTTTAGTACCTCCCAGATTTGTTACCACACTTATCTAGTTAGACCAGCATTTTAACTCTGAGATTTCTACTTCTGCTGCCATTCAGTCTAGAGTGTTTTTCTCAAAGAAATGCACATGGCTGTTCACTCTTTTTTGCTGTAATATTTAATCAAATACCTTTTTTTCATTATTAAACTCTGAAGTTTTATATGAAATTGTTTCCCTTTTCATCTCATTATTTAAATTTTAATTTTATTAATTTTTTAGTACAAGGTCTCCATCTACAGTGTCTGACTACACAGATTGGACTCGTAGTGGTCCTCCTGTTTTCAGCCTCCCAAACCCTGGGATTACAGGCTTGCACCCACATGTCCAGTCTCAGTCATGGTTTCACTGTGCCCTGGGAGCAGGGCCAGCATGGCATGCTGGGGATCAAACCCTGATCCCTGTGTCTGCCTAAGCAGGCTCCTTAATTCCTTAATCCATTAACATACTTAATATAACCTTA